ATGAGACAGATGGCTGGGGGTGGAGTTGCCCCATGAGCCCTGCAACCACAGACCTTAGGCACTGCAGCCAGGCCACCCATGCCCCACCACCTGCCTTGCCTCACCTTGTGGTGAGACAGAGTGGGCGGCTGGCTGTGCAGGCTCCTGCCTCACCTCAACTCATGGCGGTGGCACTGGCTCCCTCTGTGCCGCTTTGAAGTTCCCTTCTGGACGCCCCAACAGACCCATCATTAGGAGAGACCTGGAGATGAAGGGACTCCCTGAATGCCCTCAGCTCCCCAACATGGCACTCCAGTTCCTGCAACCTTCGGCTCCTGCACCCCTGGGCTAGGTAGCCACTCACTTTCCTACAAAACTGCCCCCCCAAGCACCACCCATTCCTAGTCGGGGCACTGAGGTGGGTCCTACCCAGCAGGCAAGTCAATGAGCCCTGGCTTTCTTGCAACCACCCTGCACATCAGCTGGCTGGGCAGTAGGCAAAGGTGGAGCTTGGGAGGCAGCAGCAGGGCGCAGCCCACAAGCAGCAACAGCAGAATCCCCCCAGGATGGCCCCACCAGTACCCAGCTGCGCACTATTTAACCCTGAGCATCCAGACCAAAGCCTCGGGCTGGTAAGGAGGCAGTGGTTCCAAGAGGGGATGGCGGCCGCAACAGGGCAGGGCAGGCAACGAGCGGAATGTTCCTTCTCCACCGCTGTTTCCCCCTCAGAGCTGCAAGCATGAGGCAGCTCCCAGCAGCACCTCTCTCCTTAAGCCCACCAAAGCTCCAGTCTGGGTGCTTAGGGTTAAATAGCGCGCAGCTGGCACCGGCGAGGCTGTCCTGGGGGGATTCTGCTGTTGCTTATGGTGGCAGCCTCCTGTCCCGTGGTGGCCAAGAGCAAGCAGACGGTGGGACAGAGTGGGCAGGTGGCCACAAAATAAGACATCCCCCGAAAATAAGCCATAATAATCTTTTGGTCCAAAAAGAATATAAGACTGGATCTTATTTTCAGAGAAACATCATAGGAATCCATAGAAATTAGATTTTGCCCACTTCAGTTGCATTAAAAAAATTTGATCCACCAAATACTTGAAAGCAAATTTTATTGACATTTTCAACATTTTGGCAGATTTTAATGGAGAAATTTAAACATTTTGTCTAATGTGGAAATTTTTAAAAGTTCATTTTAAAACAGCAGCCAGTAGCTTAAATGTTGTTTGTGATTCTCCTAAGAAAGATTAACAAGTTGAAAGCCAAATTAAAAACACAATACTACTTAAAAATCCAAACTCAATTACTGTGCCTCAAGCATTTTTAACTTCACTCCCACACCATTGCTTACAAGCTTGTACACAGCCATGATCTTCAGATGATAAAAGGTTCAGGTCAAAGTGGTGAGGGCTTCTACAGTTTTTCTGCCCCTTCCTTTTTTGGAGCATCCTCCTAGCATCTCTACTGCTTTGGTTGCCTTTTTTTATTTTCCAGATGTTTTATGTTCCCTGACATCTCAAAATTTGATGGCATCTACGCCCATTATCATGCTATTTGCCTTAGTATTTAGAAAAGCATTTAGAAAAGCAAAATTCCTCATCTTACCAGCAGCAAATGACCCGTCTTGGTTTTTAACCAGCTTTGTTTTCATTTGTATGTAATATTGAATCTTGAAAGATCTACAAAAAGGAGTTCAATATTTTTATTATATCAGGTTTTCCCCAACCTGATATCTTCCAGGTATCTTGGACCTCACTTCCCATAACATCTGGCCAGATAACAGTGCTGGTTTTGGATTATGGGAAGTGAAATCCAACAGATTCACAATCACGAGATTATGAAGTTGGGAAAGGTTGCTTCTGAGATAAAGTATTTGAATAGACTCTGTAAAATAATGATGCAGTGTAATTGACTTGACTCAATCAAGGGCCCCAGAAACAATATAACTTGTAAAAATCTCAATGGAAAATGCCAATTTAAGCAATGATAAGAGATCACTTATTTTTCACTCAATCCATGTATACTGTAGTACAAGGGTGTCAAACTGCCGGCCCATGGGCCGGATGCGTCATGCCAGAACCGCGCCCATCCCATTGCCAGCAATGGAGAAAAAGTTGTGATATGTCGCGACACATCACGTGACGTTGCGAGTTTGACACCCCTGCTGTAGGAGAATGCACCAATGACCGTATCATAAAATAAAGTGAACTTAAAGATATTCACAATTAGGATCTGTAAGGTTATGTTGCAGTGTTATGTCAGCTGCTTTATAAGAGACGGCTGGTTAAAACTAAAAGCAGTTTAACTGAAAGCTTTTGAATGGGAGAGCAGAGTGATGAGGCCTACAGAGGTAATACAGAGTAATCTTATTAATTTACCTTTTGACAAATGGGGGTTTGTGAGAACAGGTAATTTTCAACTTAGGACCATAATTGAGCCATAATATCAGTTACAAGTTGTGACAGTCAGAAAGGGGGAAAACACATGATCGGATCTAATTTTATGAACTTTTCTGAAGTGGGCATTAAGTGACACATTGTCTGCTATGGAGTAGTTTTTGCCAGAAACCAAAAATAAATGCTGGTTCCAGCAAAAATGTAAATTGCAGTCAGCATGAGATGGATGGTGCAAATTTCAGTTGATTGTTGAGTACCCAAAATGCAGTCACATGACAGTGGGCAGTTTGACATAGGAATTTCGAATCCAGGATGTAAGTAGGTTTTTCAGGGTCTGTTGTAACTTCAAATGGTCCCTAAGCAACCAGTTATAAGTTGAGAACTACCTATAGCTAAATCCATTCTGAGGAATTTTGTGAGTAGCATCTGTTTTTTAACATCAACATTTTCTCCAGATTCCAGATATGCTGATACTTCTTTTTTTTCTCATTTATATATAACATTATATAAAATAATGTTGCCTGCATAAATTCCCTCTCACAAATCCTTTTGTAACATATAATGGTGGTTGTTTTGCTGTTCCTGCCTTTGGACAAAAGTTGGCAGCACAGCCAATGTTAAAAAAATAGTATGCAAGATCTATCCCACCTCCATTCCGTGCTATTGATATTTTTTATTTTTATAATAGTCCACTTAATGACCAATTGTTTGGTGACCATTTGATATTACGATGGACTCTGAAAAGCTATTCCTAATTTAGCTTCGGACTTCTGATGGTGGCACGCATACACACACACACACACACACACACACACACACACACACACACATCCCTTGCCTATGGTCACATGACCACATTTCAGGTGTTGGAAACTGGCTCACCTCTCTGGCTGGTTGCAACATTCCACGGTCACAATTTACTACATTTTTTTACCAGTTTCCAGCTTTTTTGAATGATTTCTGGCAAAAAGTGCACATAGGAATGGATTCACGTAGTGATCATCACAAAAACAGTTGTAAAATTATGTTGGCTTTGTGCCTTGACTTATGACTGTCATGACTTACAATAGAATTTATTACAGTGATACGTTGAGCCAGTTTCCAACTAGTTCATTAAGCTGCTCCTTGTTGGTCCTTTCTATTGTATTTATTAAAACATTATTTTTCATTTAAATTACAAACTTTTTACTTCTTTGTATGTTGGAAATTCCCTGAATTTATATAATTTTCAAATGGAGAAGTTCTTTATTACGCACTTCTTAATAAAGTTAAAAGAAATTAAGGAAGAAGAAATAAGAAATAAGGTGTAAATGCCAGGCCTAGTTCCTTGCTCCTGCTAGGGCCATTCAAAAGCAGAATATATTATGCAAAAATAAGGAAATTTGCTCAAATTGCTTTACATATAAGAGTTGCAAATATTAGCTGTAATGGGAAAAGGCAGAAGAGGAAAGGGTATGCCTGTATAACTAAACAATGGTTGTTTTGCTAGTTTTTTGGATTTTATTATTTGTTATTATATTTGTTATTATATTATTTGTAATGCCTTCTGGATAACCATTTGACTGGGATGGTATAAGGTCTCCTACCTTGAGCAGGGATTTGGACTAGAAGAGGTCCCTTCCAGCCCTGTATTCTATGTTATTAGCATTTTTCTTAAATATTGAGTTTAAGTTACATAGTTTATAGTATTTTTTTTAATATTTACTATATTCCATATCCTTAAGCTGTCTTTAAAAAATTTGTAAACTATAAAGATGTAGATACTATAATGCATAAATTTGCTGAAAGAGACTTCCTAGTGCATAGGAGTATGAAGCAGTTGAGTATTGTACACTCTTATTTTTCCTCCAAGATGAGGCTGGTATCTACAAGAAACAGCATTACCTATGGCGATATTTAGTCACAGAACAAGATGTTTGTGAAGCTGTCTCTACTAGGACTTTCAGATGATTAGTTTGGGATTGTGAGATGGATGTAAAAATATGTCACAATCTACTACATTGCTACTGGCAAAATATTATATTCTATTACAATATCTACATTTTATCTACCACTTAATGATCATATATGTAATGGCATTAATTACATTATTTAGAATTTTAAAGTTCATCATTTATTCATGTATTAATTTGGCTTTTTTAAAATTAGGAGCCACTTTAGCAATCTATAATTAAAAATAAGTGTCATCAAATGGTATGGGTCTTGGTATTCATAGTTAATGTATATCCGTATGTTTGAACTGTAGGAGATATTTTATATAAAGGTTTCAATCAGTTAATTAGGCTTTGAAAGATGATTCTGTGAGAGTATCCTCCTCACAGAAACCCATATGATTCCCACTCTGGTGTTATTCAGAAAGTCACTGAAAACTTGGCTGATTTCCCAGGCCTTGGGCAAGGTGGTAATTGAGTCTCTGTCTTGCTTGTTATAAAAAGTTTGCCTTCTAGATGTATATGCTCTGTTTCTTTTTTTAAAATTGTTTCTGCTTTTTTAAGTTGAAGCCACCCAGAGTTATGTCCTTTAAATTCTATTAAATAGCATTAAATAAAGTTATATTACTTAGACTTTCTGAAATTAAGTTCACAGAACCTAAGAATGTTTCTCAGCTATGATTTTTCTCCCTTTCTTCCCTAGGTGTTTACGAAATATGGGAAATGCTACATGTTTAACTCAGGAGAAGAGGGGCATCCACTGTTGACCACGTTCAAGGGTGGGACAGGCAATGGCCTGGAGATAATGCTGGACATTCAGCAAGATGAGTACTTGCCAATATGGGGAGAAACAGGTGAGAAGAGAACTATTTATTCTGATTATCTGTTGCCAGATAGATATTTGCTGATCTTTAGCCAGTTCAGTATTAAAAATAAGTTGAAGTTGAATCAACATAGTCCAGTATAGTGGAATTGCAGTTCCTATGCCTCCCAGATTCCAGAAAACATAAAGTTTCTTTTAAATCAAACTTGCCTCTTTGTGACTTAATGAAATCCATGCAGGATTTTTATCCCACCTTTATTACTTTATAATGCTACTTCCTCCTCCTATTTTCTCCATAACAAGAACTCCGTGAAGTGGGTTGAGCTGAAAGAGAATGATTGGCCCAAAGTCACTCAGCCAGCTTTCATGCCTAAGCGAAAATGTAATTCATTGCCTCCTGATTACCAGGCCATCCTCTTAACCGCTACACCAAACTGGCTCTCAGCAAAGGGTATTTTTTGGGCAACAATACAGACATGATTCACCAGTGTTTTCTTTCAGAATATTTCCAATTCAGCCTATAGCCATGATAATCTGTCATCTAAGGATCAATCAGGCCAGACCCTACATATTATACAAGCCAGACAAGATCAGCCTGATGCTACTACCTGCTCAAACAGCCTTCCATTTTTTTTTTATGGCATTAATTGAAATTACAGTGAGGACATGTAAAGTCTGGTTGTTCTGTTCCCAGCTATGACTATCATACATATATGTGAAATTCTGAAACAGGACATAATGGAGACAAGTGCTTCTTGTGTATTTCCAGCATTTCATATTTAACAGCATACTGCTTTCACAGCTAAACCTACTGATAGACCTAGATCCCATTTGAATTTATCACAATTGGGTCCTTAATATATTCCTGGTGAATGGAAGGTGTAAATAAATAATGGGGAATTGGTACCTTCCCGTTCTGAACGTTAGATCCTTTTCTCCCATTAGAAAACTGATAGCCAAATTGAAATGCAGTTAGTTGTTTCAGTGCAGTTCTCTGAATAAAACATTCATGGAAAAGGTTACACAAATGTGCATGCATTTCTGAAAAAGGACAACATAGTATTTCATTAAATAATTTTATTGCTATTATTGTGTCATGAGCCGATCTGAAAATAGACTAGAACAACCTTAATGGTAAGAAAATATATAATATGAAAACAACTTGAGAAATTTGTTCTTATTCCTAATTAATACCATGGTTGGAGTTCGGTATAATTTTGTCTTATATATAGGAAATTCTCGGCGTATGGCTACAATTGGAACCAGAATTTCTGTTGCTATGTGATGGTTGTTAAATGAGTTATTCCTGATTTTATGACCTTTATGCCATGGTTGTTAAATGAATCACTGCAGTTGTTAAGTGAATCATGCAGTCATTAAATAAGTCCAGCTTCTCCATTGATTTTGCTTGATAGAAGCCGGTTGCAAAGGACACAAATGATGATCACATGACCTAGCGTGCTGCAACCATTGCACATACATCCTGCTTGCCAAATGCCTAAATTTTGATCCCATGACGTGAGAATACTACAATGGTCATAAGTGCAATTACTGGTTATAAGTCACTTTTTACAGTGCCTTTTTAACTTCAAATGGTTGCTAAATGAATGGTTGTAAATTGAGCACTACCTGTAAACAAAAATAGAAATAGTTTAGTCTGTGCTATTATTTATTCTATTTTTTTCTTTGAATGATTTACAATCATCCAACACTGTTTAAGAGGAACAAGAATTTGAATCCAGTTCTTCTCTCTTTAAATGCAACAGTATCATTTTACACATCATCATCAGTGGAGCTTAAACTTCAAAGCAGAACTCCAAAATTGTTTCATATATATTAGGCTTATATTGACTCTTTCTTCAGTAAAGGTAGTAGTTAGCATTTGAAAGTGACTGTGGACATGTGCTTACTTTAAGATATCTCTGCTCTGCCAGAGGAGCAATCAGGTTTTAATATTAGCAGAACAAGGATAGCAGCAATGTATAGAGGTGACTTTATTCTTGTGAGAAAATTCATTCCAGCAGCAAATAAGTGGGTAGAATATGGGATATGGTTAAAAAAAAATCAGTTCTCCTTTTGTTGCATCAGCAACAAAATCTTAAATTTCTGAGATCTAAGAAGCAATGTTAGCATCTTGCTGAATTTTGTTTTAAGATTATATCTGGAATTGCCATAACTACAAAACCAGACTTGAGAATCTGGATAACACTTGGAGGAGAGATATGAAAAGATAGGAAAAAAACTTTATAAAGAACTTTTGTGACAAGTCTACACAATTTTATCTGGCCAAGGAATGCTCTCCAAAATGGAATGGCTTAGACCACTGGTTCTCAACCTTCCTAATGCCGTGACCCTTTAATACAGTTCCTCATGTTGTGGTGACCCCCAACCCTAAGGGCTCTCCAAGCGCGCACTGATGCCACCAACTCACCCGCCACGCCCAGGGCTCAGCACACCTCGCCTATCCTCGCCTCACTTCCAAAGGTCCCGGTCTGCCTGGCTCCAGCTGGCTGGGGAGGGGGGCAGGAAGGCCGCTCCGCCGGCTCCGCCCAGCCTGGTTGGTGAAGCACCCAGGCGGGGAGAGGGAGAGAGAGAGAGAGCCAAGAGGGCGACAGCACCGTCAGAGCTTAGTTCAGCCTCCTCTGCGGAAAGGGCCGCGAAGCAGTGCAACCTCCCTTAGGAGATGCTTGACAGAAACAAATCCGGCGCTGCAACGGCCCCCAGCTTGAAGCTGTGCAGAGACGATTCCTAAGACCATCGGAAATATGTGTTTTCTGATGGTCTTAGGCGACCCCTGTGAAAGGGTCGTTCGACCCTCAAAGGGGTCGCGACCCGCAGGTTGAGAACAGCTGGCTTAGACTAAGACAAAAATTGAATTATATTTTACTTATAATTAATTGATTAAATATCCATTTGTCCGAAATGGTATAGGGTTTCCTGCCTGAGCAGGGGGTTGGACTAGATGACCTTCAAGGTCCCTTCCAACTTTACTATTATTATTATTATTATTATTATATAGCTGAAATAAATATACTCCAGATGTATTTAATCATTTATCATATATTTTAATCATACAGTTTCCTTTTGGGGTAAACTACATTATGAAAAGCCTAGAAAGAAATAAGAAAAGGCAAAGAAATTAAAAGCCAGAGTTCAAAGAAAAGGCATATAGCTAAAATCTAGTTTCTACTAATCCCATTCCCCAGATCTTATATTTACATTCTGGGTTTCAGACAAAACAAATTCTGTATGAGGCAAATAGGGCATGGCTAGTGCAGTCTCTGCAGCTGCCAGTGTAGCATATTCTGCTGACCTATCCAGCTCTCTCCAATCTGCCCAGTGTCTTCCCTTCCTATTATGTAGGAGCAGGAGGGTGTTGAATGGACTTTTGCAATGTGCTTTAGATGGAGCTGCCCTTGAAGAACAGCTGGTGCAAAATGCAGCTATGTGGACAGTTATGTGCACTCTTCAGTCAGTAGACATTATATCTCTGGTCTGTGAGCTTTATTGATTTCCAGTATGCTTCTGGTTTAATTCAGGTGCTGACGATTTATAAAACCCTTCATGTCATGGTACCAGACTATTTGAGGGACTACTTTCCTTATTAAATCTGCTTATTAGGTCTGGCAGAAGACACATGCTTTGAGTTCTTTCTGTTAGGGAATGACAACTGTTGGGGCCCAGAAGAGGCCTATCATAATGCTTGTCCTTTGAAAATTCATCCTCCCAAAGATCAGATTGCCCCAATCTACTGGCTTGTCATAAAGTCTGAAAGACATGGTTTTACCACTGGAGTTTTGAGAATGCAGTAGAACTTCTACAATGGTTATATGTTGATTGTTGGCAGTGGCTTTTTTATACTTCAGCTACTGATCTGTTGCATGGATTTTATATGTGTTTGTATATTTGATTTTACATTGTTCTTTGTTTTTATATAGTTTTTAATTGCTGTAAGTGACCCAGAGTAATGTATGAAGTGGTCAGCTATATAAATTAATGAAACTAATAAATAAATACATTTCAAGAATGCACAGTGATGTATTTTAGATAACAAAAAAACTGAACTGTTCATACCATATCCCACCAAAGATAAAACCTTACTGAGAGCAGCCATCCACAACTTTACACTTTTTAAATGTGGTGGATTAGAGTTTCCATCATCCCAAATCATCATGGCCATGCTTCATACTTACATAGACCTAAGAGCTCCAAATGTGGGGAAATTGCTATATAAGATTACCTTGGAAGGAGGAATTCTCTTTCCTCAGTTCTCAGTAAGGCCATAATGGAAAGCACTACATAAAGTTCTAACAATTAATACTTTCATTGTTATCTCCAAAAGAGCAAAATAAATATGAATGCTTCCTTAGATCATGTCTATATGAACAGGACTAATTTCTTTGTATTTTCTGTATGAAGGTCTCTCAGCACAAAGTAGCACTCGCAAAATTATCACATATGATCCTACTAAGGAATTCATCCAACCTGTGATTTGATTTTCATGCACACCAGGAAAAGTTTATATTTCACCAATGCATGTTTTCTGACATACATTTTATTTAGTCTCTTCATTTGTAATTAAGCCTACACTTTTACATAATACCTACAGTACATGCTTTCACTTTGTATGATCAGGTCACCTTCATTCAGCTATTATACAATTATACTTTTTTAAAAAATTCTCAGTCATTTATCTATTTTTTTTTCTTTTCTTCCATTTATTAACTCATTATTTTTTATCCTTCTTACATTCCAAGCAGCAATCTTTTTTATCATTTCCAAATGGATTCATATCTCTTCTGCCCATGATGGCTTGACTTACTGAAAGTGTCTTCCAACACTTTTAATACAATGTCAAAGGGGTACACTGTACTTGTGCCACATGCAGTATTATTTACTAATGGCAAAGTAGTGCTGGTTAGCTTGGACACATTTTGGCCAGCATGCCACAAGAACAATCAAAATTCATAGTTACCATGCTCACATTATTCTGTACAAATTAGAATCACTAATCTATAGATTACCTTCCAA